TATGATGAAACACAAGAATGAATTTTTGGAGTGCAAATCTTAATTGAGAATAAAAGGATTTTTTGTAATGGTTTTCAGAAAAAATGATAATGGTGTTTGATCATACAGGGTGTTGTTTTATTAAAATGCACGTTTGATAAATCCGAAAATGCAACTCTGAAATTGACTGAAATGCAAAGATGGTAGATTTTTAAATTCCCGCTTCACAATTCCAAAAATATACTTCTGAAAAAGTTACTAGATTGTTAAATTAGAAATAAATTGCGAGGATGAGTCTAAATATTTATCTATTGCAGATATAGACGTTTAGCAACCAATTTTTATTAGATCATAATGAAAACACTTCTCCAAGAGCATGTCAAATCATGTGATATTTTTCAAAGACAAAAATATCAAGCTACATCAATGGGTGATTTATTGCAACCACAAGATATTCCTTCAGTTGTCTGGAAAAAAGTGTTTATGGATTATATTAGGGGATTTCTTATTCCACCTCATGTCCTAAAATAAGACCCTTTGCAATTCCCAAAATGCTCTTCTGAAACAGGAACATACTTCCAGTACACACTTTTTTAATTAAAAATGATTGAAAATCGGAAGTATATTTGTGGTTGTAGACCGGCAATATATTTTTGATTTTAATGTTGCCAGTAGCAGGAAAAAATTAGGCAGAGTAATGTCATTTTTTTCTCGTTGTTTCGCATTAAATACAAAGACCTGTATAATTTATACAACTGAGACAATTGGAACAAAGACATATATATATATATATATATATATATATATATATATATATATATATATATATATATATATATATATATATATATATATATATATATATATATATATATATATATATATATATATATATATATATATATATAGCAGTACACATCACAAAAAGTTTTTGTGGTCGATAAAGGGATAACTCAAAAATATGATCCAAATACAATAATAAAAAACAAGAACCAAAATATAAAAACATCATCAAATACTACTAGGTATGATGGATGATGAGTCAGTCTATCACCCTCGAGGCGTTCCTCCGCTGCCTCCTATAACACAGAGCTTCCTAAGCCTCTGTCATGATGGCATCCAGAACACCTCTGACATCGGATCCATCAGGAAACAAACCTCTATCAATACCATCTCATACACTCTCCATGATACGACGACACCTAGGAAACACGTTAGTGGCATGATCGGCCCTTGTATGCCCGTCCTCTAGGATCTCCTGATGAACTGGCATTGGTGGGTTCCCTGAAACATCATGTGCCATGTATGGATGGGATACCCGAAAGAACCGTATCATATAACTGTACTCGTAGCTCCAGTCGTCTGGTGCTATAGTATTCTTGGCCTCATCAGGAACAAGATGATTCTCAAAATCATCAAACAAAGCATACATATCCCTCCGTTTCACCGTCGGAGGAGCAGATACAGAAAGATCTCATGGAATGGTCTTGGTGTACCCGAACTGACGCATCACCCACTCAGGCATATAAGCAGCCGTATTGCGAGTCTCACAGGCCAACCAACCCGTAAACAACGCAACCTCGTCAAATGGTATCATCTCACGGTGGTCGACGCATGAACAGAAGTGTATGTCCTCATGCACCAGTCGGTCAATGTACACCCAGAACGACTTTGTCGCCTAGTTTCCTCGGAGCTGGTCGTATGCGCAGGCACACGACTTATCTTCTGTATAACCAGATGCAAGTGAATAACCTGAAATACGGGGGAAGTGTTTTAGGATTCATCCCTAAAATAACAAAATTAAATAGTTAGTTCAAGAATCACAATAATTATAAAAAATCCACAAAGACAAAGAAGTTATACCGTCATGAGTGATATGTTGTCGGCCATCTGCCTCGTATTCCACTTAATTCCTTCATCCAACTTCGTATACAAGTAAACCAGGCAAGCAGCCCCCCAGTTCCACTGATGTGATCGTCTCAAAATCATCAAAATTTCGCAGGTACATGATATCGGTGTAAGTGGCACTAGTATCCACAAAAATATGTGTGCCAACAAGATACAAAATTTATGCCCTCATAGCAAACCTCAAGTGAATGGTAACCTGCTCAGGATCACCATGAGTCTGTTGTGCACGTCCTATCTCAGCCATGAACACTATATCCAAATAACTATACTTGACGTGGCAACCACATGTTTTATCAATGTCGGCCATGGCACTCTCAGTTGTAACTCCCAACTTCTCAACCAACATATCCAGCGCCTCCTCTTTATCAATCCTCTCATGATCCAAGAATGTCCCTCTAATAGAAAGATGTAGCAGACACGCGACGTCGTCGAGTGTGATCGTCATCTCATTATGTGGTAGATGAAACAACGACGTCTCATGGTGCCACCTCTTAACGAACGCGTTAATCATCCCCTAGTTGACAATGATGTATCCACACAAGGCCAAATATTTCAACCCTGTAAGAAATAAAAGCTTATCAAACCATGGCTCAACAGTGGGTACTAGTCTACTGATCTTTCGTCCATGGTTAATGATCTTAAGCGTATCACGTTCGTGCATAAATATTTTGACAGATTTAATCAATAAACTAAAATTCAAAATTCATAATAACATTCATAACATAAATGTAATAGAAATCAAATTCGAAATTCATACATGTTTGTCCCATATATATCTAGCAACATGGCCAGAGTAAAGAGGAAGAAGGGGTAAATCATACGGTCCTCCTCCAAAAGCCTGAGGCACCGCAGGTGCAGCCTATACAGGTGCGGGCTCATGTGTCGCCTCATGAGCGGACTTAGGTGCCTGGGATGACTGAGGAGTCGTCTCAGGTATCATCTGAGTCTGAGGTTGTGATGGTGATTGTGGTTGGGCCTCTGCTGGCGCATGAGAAACGAACGTCTCTCCCGCCTCAAATGTACTCAGTGGAGAAGTGCGCCTGCGGGAGGACAGGGGTGGAGACAGATGAACTGGAGAATCTCGCCTGTTGCGGGAGGACGACGTAGTAGGAGTAGAAGCATGAACACCAGAGGCTGAAGTTGTAGGAGGTGTATCCGGTACGGCCTGTCTAGAGGCAGGAGGAGGCTGGGTTGCCTGAGTCCTTTCTCTCTGCACAGAGGCATGTTGTGCAACCTTGTCGAACCTCAATCGAGATGGTCTCTCAGCTATTACTCATGTAGAAGTACGAAAAATGTTAACTTAAGGACCAGTGTTCAAAACAAAACAGAAAATAGATTACAGACTAAAACCAGAAATACACTTGTAGTTTTATTCTTGATAAAAACCGGAAATATGTTTCCGATTTCTACTGTGATAACAACATGACGTTAATGGCTTCTCTGCTCCAAATGAGCTCACAAAAAACTTATTGATCATCAAAATGACGTTGCCAACACCTTTCTAATGATTCCTAATATTGATAAGAAACTACAAAATCTCAATTTCTAACATAAATCACACATTTGAGTGAATTTTACATAAACTCTAAAAAGTTCAGAAACAACTTACTTGATTTATTGTGGTTGGTTTTTCTTAATTGATTGTAGTTGGATGCTTGAGAAACTGATGCTTGATGATTTATAACAATTTGGGTTGTAAATGTGGTTGATTTAGTGAAAATGAGATTCAGAGAGTTTTTGGTGGTTTTTGTATATTTGTTTTTGATATTTGTTTTTGAATTGATACGGTAACTGGAGCGGAAGAGGCATGACACCTATTAGTTTGTCTATAAACCAGAAATATATTTGTGGTTGTAAATCGTAGTTATATTTCCGGTTAACACCTAACTCTTCCAACGTTGTTCATGTATAATATAGTACGAACCAGAAGTATATTTCTAATTTTCAAGGACAAAATTAAAATTTCACATTATGCACAAGAAAAATATAGAGTGAAATAAGAAATCCCCTTATATTACGGGATTGCATAATTCAATAGGCTATGAAGCTATATGGTGGTGGGGGTTCGACTCTCAGTATTCTCATTTTGTTCCCGTCAAACGGCCATATACAATAACTGTAATAGTTGTAACTTTTGTTAGAGAAGTAATAAGATCACATGGTCTGCCTAATGATATGATCTGATGTTTGTTAGTAATTTTTGGATAGAGCTATTCCGCAAGAACATAATTAAAAATGAGTTCTACTTATCATCCAGAAATCAATTATCCAAAATGTGCTGATATCTTAGATATCATAAATCGATGTTTAGAAGTGTATTTTCGTTGCTTTATTTCTTATAGCCTTTATTAATTGCATCTTTTTCAATTTATTATATAGCCTTTATCAATTGCTTCTTTTTCTATTAGAGCTCTGATGGTGTTGTTATAGTCATTTTTCAGAGGCTTAACAGAGTTCATGTTGCAAAACACCTCAGATTAACTATTAGATTAAATAACTAAAAACTTCAATTTTATCTTCTAATAAAAAAGAATTTCAAATTTATACAAAAACTGTTTGTGCTTGATCATAATTACAATAGAACTGTAATCAACCGATTGATTGTTAAAAATTAATTTTTATAATAAATTATTAATAGGAATAACTCATCCTTGAATTACTCCTAGAGATAACTTGATCCCTCCTTAGTGTAAAAATATTATTTTGCAAACAAATTCACACAGATTTGCCAACATTACTCAAGCATGAAAGGACCATATTGTTCATAGACATGTGAAAGTGACAGTTTTTTGGATTATTTTTTCATAATAGCCTCTATTTAAAATAGAAAATCGCTTCATTTTTTGCCCTTGTAAAGTTGGATGAACCAAGATAATGAGTAAAGTGACTATATTGTTTCTTCAAAATAACAATGTCTCAAGCAATGCAAGAAAACTCAAATACAATATACCTACACAAAGGTGAGAAAAAATTCAATAAACAACGTTTCTGATGTCAAAATCTCTATTTCCTAATTGTTTGTCATGAATATCCGGCATATGCGTCATTATATGCCTAAACATCATCCACTTGCAAAGTAAATTGGATACAAATGGAAACAACGAGGTCCGAGATCAGTTGAAGAGCTCTGGGTTTAGCCAATCCCTGAAAATAAAGTCGAGTCAATTATAGCCACGGATACAAAAATATAGGAGAAGAAAGAAGGGAAGTAGCGCAAAAGAACCTACTTGCTTATGTCATCAAGGTGGTCATCAAAATCTACAATGCCGCGCCATTTCTCAGATGAAATATAGTCCAACAATATCAGATTCGCAGAAGGCTCTTTGAGAGAGAATCTGTTGTTTGCATCTGATTGAACCAACTTCCAGTTCTTAGATGCATCCCTAACATAAAGCTAAACCATAAGAAAAAGGCAAGATATGTTAATGCAACCGACAAAAAGATGGATCTACATCATATGGTAAAAGTCATACTTATATAACATGTAGCTAACAAGATTTTTTGTAATCAACAAATAAAAAAAGGAAAGGAAAAATGCTCTTTGGATGCACAACGAATTTCATAACAAGAAACAAAGGGCATGGATGAAGCCTTTTAGTGGATTGTGATCATAAGTCTTGCCATCAGAACTTAGTTCCAAGACGTTACGACAAATAGCCCACACATTGTCAAAGGCAAAAGGGGACTGAAAGGTATACATATTCTAATTGAAAGAAAGGGTTCTTAGGTCTGCACAGGATAAGTCCTCAACGATTTCTAGATATTCGACAATCCCAGATAAAATTCACCCCTAAATTCGACTTTGATCCACCCTAAATTTAATATATACCATGAAAACAAATGTTGAGAACTAAGATAGCTTCACAACATGTATAACTAAACATAAGTTGTTTATTGATTTAAAGTGTCATATACAATAACTAATCATCATCTAGAGAAACTCAAATAAGTTTCATAAATCAGCCTTGATATGAAAAATGATTATAGGCCTATATGAATATGAGGTTTACAATACTAAAACATCACTAACCTGCATTACCGCACCACTACTCTTACTCTTCTTCAAACCTTCAAGCTTCTTGTTATCTAACTGCAAAGAATAAAAAACCAACACAAAAAATGAAAAACAAAACCTACATAATTCAAACCAAGATCAACAAAAATCACATCACATACCAATAGAATAGCAGCTTGTGGAAAGTAACGAGAGATGTGATCACCAATATTCTTCGCCACACCGCCGAGTTCAAATTCATCAGACCTCTCATTGGCATGAAAATAACCAACTATGTTCAACCCTTTAGCAGAAAAATATTCATCTATCTACATCACACACACAAAAAAACAGTAATCAGAAAACTGTGAAGAATCTAAAATCTAAAATAAACAAAAACTGGATCAACTGATAACCCCAGAAGAAATTAAGATCAGCCCAGTTGATTAATTTGTATGTTAATTAAGAAAGTGTGAATTTTTATGAATTATTTGACAGATTAGAAATTTGGGGGAAAATTATAAACCCTAGGAGAGAGAAAGAGGGGTACCAGAATTAGAGAGATCTCCAATTGAGGAAGAAGAGGAATTTGAGAATGGAAGAGAGGGACGGCATCGGTGATCTCGACGGTGGCGTTGGAAGGGGAGATGCGGCCGATCAAGACGCCGTTGACGGCGGATGTGGGGTGTTTGAGGGAGTGGAGAACGAGTTTGATGTAAGCGTTTTGTGAAACCTCGTACTTCAAATCGGTGCTTGCCATGTTTCTGATGAGAGTGAGGATTCACTGAAAAAACACAACACAGTTACACGAACGTTGTTGAGTTTCTTATGTTGTGTTTTTGTTGTGGACTTGGATGTTGGTTTTGGAGTTCTTAACTTGTGAAATGGTTATAACGACGTCGTATTGTTGTAAAGTCAAAGGTAAATCACGCATGAGTCATAATTTTTTATTGATTTATTTATGGTTTGGGTCACTACTTATGGGCCCAATAAAACAAATGTGAGAGGAATCTTCCTGCCACCACTAAAATTGAATCCGACACCCCATAATTTATAATGAAAATTTTATCCTTTATATTATTCATCTTTCAAATTTTTATATTTTTTTAAAAAATATCTGTAAAAACGGGAGAAACAAAAAATTTAGTAGTTATTTTAAAAAGTCTGGTACAAAATATTCTGCTAGGTTGGTTATTTATGATTTTTTTACTTAACTTTTAAAAATTTGATGAGGTTTTATCATAATTTTTTGAAAAATCTTTTGAAGTTTTACCGGATTTTTGACAAATACTCGGAAATATTATGTAGTTTTATCGGATTTTTTTTGAAAAATCAAAAAATTCTTTGAAGTTTTATCGGATTTTTGTGAAATATCTGGAACTTTTTGAAGTTTTACCGACTTTTGAGAAAAGTCCAGAATCTGTAAAGTTTTTAACGTTGTTATTATCAGAGATTTAAAAAAAATCGAAAAATATTGTTGTATACCAGAATTTTTTGGAGAGTCCGATATATCGAATTTTTTGCATAGGCCTAAAAATCTGATAGTTCATTATGCTTCAATTGTGTGGTCCTGATTCTGATGGTTCACATGTGGATTACTCAACTTTTGCGCGGTATATTTTACATAAATGTTTTCTTTTTACATGATTGTGTGATCCTAATGTATGATATCTCATACGTTGATAATTTATTTTGTATATGTTGTAAATGTCAGATATTTACCTATCGGACTAAGGTTTTGGCATGACCGCAGTTTGTTGGTAAACAACATGGTATTGTTGTTGTTACTATTCATTTTGATGCCGCAAATGAGATGAGATGGTGGAAAGATAAATTGATTATGGATTGTGAGGGAGGAGAAAATTACAAGAACAAGTTGTGTTTGCAAAGATACTATAAAAGTGAAATATCCATTTATATTGAGAATTGTGCCAAGTGGAAGCCGTTGGAAGGTTACAGTCAGGTATGAGTTTCACAATCATATGCTAGCTAAGGACTTAAATGGGAATGACGTATTAAGTTGTTTTAACGACCATGAAAGAAATTTTGTGAATGACATAACCAAATACAACATGGCTCCCAAATACATTATTAATGCTTTGAAAGATATAGATATATAAAACCTAACGAGTGTTACTCATGTCTACAATGCTAGGTCTACACATAATGCAAGAAAGAAAGGTTTGTTGACTGAAACACAACATCTATTGAGTCTTATTCATGAAGATAAATACATGTACTAGACAAGAAACAAGGACTCTTCTAATATTATTGATGATATCTTTTGAACGCACCCTGATTCAGTGAAATTGTTAAATATGTTTCATCTTGTGTTAATTTTTGATTCCACATACAGAACAAACAAGTACTTCTTATGCCAAATGCATCTATTTTAATTTATTTGTTTTGGAAGTTGTTAGGGGTTGTTGATTATTTAATGTACGTACAAAACAAATGCACCGGTTACCACTACTTTAGATTGTTGGTGTTACATCCACGAAGTTGATATTTTCGATTGGTTTTGTATATCTGGAACATGAAAGAGAGGAAAACTTCATGTGGGCACTAGAAAAGATAAAAGAGTTGTTCGCTTCTGAGAAGTCGCTACCAAATGCTTTGGTTACTGGTCGTGAACTGGTGTTGCTTTTATTGATTCTTTGGCACCAACAGGATCCCTAACTAATGTGCCAAGTGTGGAGAAGGGGGATACACGTCTACTTCGCTTCACCAAGAATACCCCATGTACTTTAATTGTCTGTCTGCTACTACGAACCCGACCCGTAGGCCCATACCTTTCTCGATTAAAACTATAAGTAGTAGTTTAATTAATTCGAAGCTAAACTCCCCCGTTAACAACTTCTCACTTAATCACTACTCGTGCTAACTTTCTACCTAAGACTCACATAGGTATGAGGCCCTCCTCAACTCCCTCATCAATCAAAGACAGCGACCGGATCAAAACAGGAAGACATACTTCCATGACGCAAAACCAGAAGACACATTTCCATGACAATACCTAGCCAAGACTCTTGACTAAGAACACAACTTGGAATTGCTTACAAGCTTCCTCCAAGAACAATACTCACTCTTACTTCAAAGTTTTGAGGAGAACAATCAACATTCTATACTTCATAGTTAAAGAATGAACAATAATAGAGACTTACAACTCTATAACACAGTCTAACTCACATGTCGAGTGGATCACACATACCAACTCTCCTAGAGAATGGCTTAAAGACTCAATCCTAATAACTACATCTTTTCATTCATAGTTGGTACTTCTTTTAGGTTACAATGTGTTGTACCCCAAAATTTGCCCTCCCATATTTCTCAAAACATTTCAAGAAAAATTCACAAGTCCAACCTGGCGCGTCATATTCAGGTGTTCTTTCGCCAAGATATCTCTGATAACGTATTCTCAAATTCAGGTTCGGCTCAAGAGTCAATTCTTTAAAGAAGGTATCCGAATGTGTGAGTTTTCTCGAAAAAATATGGTGAAAAAGTGTGCTGAAAGTGCAGTTTTTACGCGCTAAAAAATTCATAACTTGAAGATCGTGGCTCGTTTTGAACCCATTCCGGTGGCCAAAATTCCTTCTTGACATTATCTACATTTTCATATCTCACGGCTGGAAGCCAATTTCGATCAGAAGGTCTTCAAAAATGTGGATTTATCAAGTATTTTCGTACAGAAAATTTGTGACAGAAGTTTATTTACATCATGTTCAGAAAATCATAACTTGGTCGATTTTCATCGTATCGAGATGGTTCTGGCGCCAAAATTTCTCAAATTGAGTTGGCTACATTTTCACAGAAGGTATTGAGTTCAAACGGTATTCAAAAGGCCTTCATTTTTTGCTCAGAGTGCGTGACACGCTGAAAATCCTGAATGCTGAATATTATTTCATCTGGGGCGAAACTTCGAAAATTCATAACTCGGTCAATTTTTATCGGATTCGGCTCATATTTTTACACAAGGTCACTGACTCATAGATCTACAACTTTGCTTCAAAAGTCGAGACCGGATTATGCTCCGATCAATACCAGTTTTTTATTGAAGAACGTGTCAGAGTCAACACTGGAGCCCAAAATAAGTTTGTCTGAGCTGAAACTTCAAAAATTCATAACTAATTCACTGTTTATCCGATTGAGCCTATTTTCGGACAGGAGTTAGTTCTCGATGCCGGCTACATTTTGTTTTCACATTTCAACTTCAAAAATTGCACTTAAGTCCCTGCGATTTAGCCTGGAAAGTGACGAACTCAAGTGAACATTGGAGGCCCAATTGCACATTCAAAGCCCATTTTCTTTACCCTAATTTCCATTATATAATCACCTTCTTTTCACACAAACCAGAGAGGAGAAAAAAGGAGAAGAAAAAAAACCTTGCCACAACACTGTCAGAATATCAAATTCTTTCAAGAACCCTAAAACCTTGAAATCCTTATTACAAATCCCTCTCTCACTACAAACAAGTCATCTCAATTACAAACCAACATCTCACTACTTCTTCAGTAAGGGTAAGGCTGGCTTGATCTCCATGATCAAAAGGGCATAAAAGCATTCATGTCACTACTTTTCCAGTAAGGGTAAGGTTGATTTGATCTCCATGATCAAAAGGGTATAATCATTCATACATGTCATATTGTGCCTAAACATTAAATTTCTTCACATATTGGCTTTATTTGCATTTTATGATTTTATTTAATGTGTTCATGAGATTCAACACTGCAGATTTTAGACAGGATCCCATGCAGGTTCATTAAGGAACGTTGAGGCCAAAACACAAATGGCCAAAAGCCAAATGGCCAAAACAGAACAGCTTACACATGACACCAATACATGGCAAGGCAGACATCTTGAGAAGGTTAAGGAACGTTGAAGCCAGAACACAAATGGCCAAAAGCCAAAAGCCAAATGGCCAAAACAAAACAGTTTACACATGACGCCAACAGCTGTTTCACCCCTCCAATCAGGTCCGTATACTCCTAAACTCTCTCTCTATTTGTATTATGTTCCTTTAATTAATTAATCGTTATTATTTTTATTAATCACTAACCAATTAACATTTTTTCCTAATGAAATCAAAAACACAAAAAATATTTTATTTATTAAAATTAACTTCATCACTTTATTTTTGTAAATAAATTAATTTAATCAATTTAGCTTTAATTAGATTTAACTTTTAATATTTTTTGCAATATTTAAAATCAATTTAGAATATTAGGTTTTTATTAGCATTAATTCAATTCATTTTATTTCTTTAAAAACTCAAAAATCCAAAAATATTTTCATTATTTAATTTAATTTAATTGTTCATTTAATTTAATTCCATTTAATTCAAAAATAACCAAAAGAATCACTTTCTTTCAAAAAAGGGTCAAAACCCCAAAAAACTCGCATCCGATTTAATTTCCCGCACGCGATCCATTTTTCCATATTATTGTATCTGTTTCCCGGAATGTAATAGCTTTTAATTAGGACTTTAATTATTTACCGCTTTATTTTACTTTCCGCAATTTAAATTAAAGGGTTTATTTTTGGCGATGTAAATACCCGACGCCTTGTAATAGCTTAGATTTAATTTCCCGCAATTTACTTCCCGCAAATTATTAAACTGTTAATTATGCATGACAAGATTTGTATGACAAATAAAATCAACCCGTAGCTCACAATGATGCATGTTTAAAGATAAACATAAACTGAAAAACAACACACGAGCACATGCCACTCCTAGGGTACGCCTCACTGGTTGCCTCGAAC